AGCAGAATAGCGGACAGGGTGTATGACATCACCAGGTGAGTCTCGCCGCGAAGGGAAGCTGGGCAGCACGTCATATCTCACCCAGTGCCCTGCAGGGGCACGGTCAGGGGACGCGACCCTCGGGAAGGAACGCTGGGTTGTCAGCGTCGTTCTCTGCGCTTTCCCGTATCCACGGAAGGATGCTCGCTGTGTTTAGGTCCAAAAGACGTTTGGAAATGAGCGGATAAAACTTTATATAGTCTAAAACTTAAATTAATTTAAGCCTTGATTACGTTTTATGTTGCTAAACTTATTCTTTAGAACATTTCCTCTTGCTTTGGATGTTGGCTCTGGAAGAGGTTACATAGCGCGACATTTAACGAAGGTACCTACTCTTTGTACTTAAAAGTGTTTAAAATAAGTACATATTTATTCCTTCCTTTTCAAATAAGGCTCTATTGTAACTTGAAGCAATCCTCTGAATCTTGATGAGGTACATCTTTTTTTTTTTCCCCTTCATATCTGTAGCCACAGTCCAAAAATGTGTGTTCTGTAGGCTGTTACTCTACATTTATTGTCACTGAAGACTAGACAAATGGTAGGGCAAGGGAAGCTATGTTCTGTGACACCTCACCTTAGTCTTGAGGGAGGGATGTGCATGGTTTTTGACCAATCTGTTGGATGCACTTAGTTGTTAAAGAAAAGCATCACCGCGGAGACTTTTCAGTGGTAAATAGTTTACCCTTCATGAACCACGGTCTAAGTAAAGGTACTTCGTTGGCTGTTAATTCATGCTTTATATCTGACTGAACTTATACATAAAAGTGCAGAATGTGTTTTCTGTTACTCCTACCTCAACTATTCTCCCTGGGAGCAATTACTAAGTACCATGTTGGTGGAAAAAACGCTTTCTGCTTTTTACATAAAGTTTTTATTAAATGTTGAAGAGATTCCTTCAAACTTTGTAAGCATTTGAAAAAATTACTAATGTCAACTGATAAAACAACTCAAATATTTGATAGACTTCTTGAATTTTATTTTAGGAAACAGTTGAAAAACTTATTCAAGTTGATATTGCAGAGAATGCTTTAGTAAGTAGCTTTCTGAATACTAATGTGCTTCAATTCCATAATACAAGAATGCAAAACTGAGTTTCTGATGTTGTTTTTCTTCTAACCCAACATTAGAAAAATGCTGTAGAATCTGAAATTCCTACGGTCAATGTTGTAGCTGATGAGGAGTTCCTTCCTTTCAAAGAAGACACATTTGATCTTGTTGTTAGCAGCTTAAGGTATGTATTAATCATTTATTTACAATTTACTTTTTTGGTTAAAGATGTTAATGTTATTTGAGAGTAACTTTAAGGAGAGAAAAAAGATAAATAGTCCATTAAACAGTAATAAGTCATGCTGTATGAAATGTGCTAGTTTATTTGGTATGAGTATGCCTTAGGAAAAACTGCTGTTCTGATGGCTCTTGTTTGTTTATTTTCGTTTGAGACAGTGTAGCTTCTCTCTTTCCTCTGTTTTGACTAACTAGTTTCCAGGACTTGCATCTTCTCAGCTTCAAAAAAAAAAAAAAAAACCCAAACAAAAAAAAACCCAAAAGGAAACACACACACACACCCTCCCCCCCCATTTGTATCAACTTTAGTTTTTATTCAGTATTGCTTTTAGGCAGGCATTTCAGAACTTTTGCAGCTTGAGAAATGAGTTTGCTTCTTTGGTTTCTGAAACCTACTTAGATAATGTAACAATTTATGTGCATTCCCTAAATTTTATTTAATATACAATTATAAAATGTACACTTCTGTTATTTCAGTTTACATTGGGTGAATGACCTTCCTAAAGCTTTTAGAGAGGTAAGAAACTGGTTTATAGTACTAAAAATCAATACTTGCCATTACTTACATTCAGAGCACCTATATTTCCAGATCTTATTTAAATAAGAGGCACAGAAATATGTTGTGCGTAAGTATTTTTTACAGTATTTTTGGCAGTTTGAGGAGTGTCAGTTGATATTTCTACTATTCTACTGTCTCAAATAAATTTGGAATAAATAACTGTGAAACAACATGTTTGTGTAATATTTCATAGTCTCAACACCTGAGACCATGATAACTAATGTAAACTGAGGCAGTGCTATTGATTTTTATTGTGTTTGCTCTTACTACTTGTAGTACAGGATTTTTTTTCTAAGTTTAACTTCTCTAGAACTGGCTTATGGAGATTGTATTATTTTTATGTCTCAGCTATTTACTTTAAAATACAACTTTAATCAGATAAAGGCTTTTTGATTTTTAAATTAAGTAAATTCTTGTTGAGAACAGAAAACTGAAACTGTTAGTGGAATAATCTGATTTTGAATTATCTCAGCTCCTTCCTGCAGGTGAAAACCTGTTTCAAATCAGCTGACTTAGGAGCAAGAGCAAGGAATATTTTAACCAGTTTGCTGGGTTTTCATTTGTTTCAAATTGGTCAATCATTACAGTCCTTCTGTCACCTGCTGGTATGAGTAGGAGTACTCCACTGTTACGGAAATAATAAAAATATAAATCCAAATGCCTTCAGTATGTACTTTAAAAAAAAAATAGCTTGGAAGGAAATGTATCACTTTCTCTGGAATGTGAGTGTTCTGTGGAGTGTCAAGTATTTTTACATCCCCAGTAAAAATAACTGATACATTGTAATGTCCCACAAAGGGGAGGGAGCTGGGGTTCTTGGCCAACTTTGGTTGTGAATGCCTGTTTCCTGCTTTGGGACCACTTGCTTTAACTAATGGAAACTGCCTTCAGCTGCTTATATTTCTTACCTGTCAATTAAAGGCTTCTTTATTAGCACGGAAAAGGTAGCTTGATTAATACCTAATTAAAAACCAGTTTAAAAGATTTTTGTTTCAAATCAGTAAGGTAAACCATTTGAAGCTTTTGCTGTCATCTTAGTTTCGTTATGTAATACGGCTCTTCTGAATATCTAAACCAGGGATCATTGCCAGTTCCTAAGGAAAAAAAATAAAACATGAATTTGGCCTCCTCAGTAGGAAGAGGGCTAGGACTTACTAGATGAGAAAACAGCTTGTCAACCTTGGCATGAGTCATGATACTGCTTTTCTGGCTAGTTAAAAATAAGTAGGGGTAAGCATAAGAAGAATTGCATTACTCAGTTGTGCCTTCAGAAGTACAAAGATTACTGCTGGAAACTAAGGCCTCCATTTTTCTTAAATCAAGCCATTAAAAAGTATTTATGCTGCCCTCATCTGAGAAAGTAAAAAATAAGCAGAAGCTATCTTAATCTACCTTCTTTGCAGAAGTAAATTAATTGAAGGTATTGTTTTAGGAGTATTGCATGGAAAATAGTTTTACTCTAGATTTCCACAGTGTGTTTTTTGTTTCCTGATTGTAAGTGTAATTTTCAGGGATTCATTCTTGCGTAAGAACAAATAGCTACTTTTCAGACGGGTTATTTATTTTGCAGTGTTATCAAAACCTTTGGTGCAGCTTGCCTTGTGGAATGCAGTCAACTTTAAAAATCTGTTATGACTGTTAAAATGATTGCTTTTAAGTTCATTTAAAATGAAATCCTAGAAACTTTTTATATAGACTCAGTAACAAAAAACATTACTTTTTCTTTTTCTCCTGTGTTGTAGATTCACCAGGTCCTTAAGCCAGATGGAGTATTCATTGGTGCGATGTTTGGGGGAGACACTCTGTATGAGCTTCGCTGCTCTTTGCAGCTGGCAGAATTGGAGAGAGAAGGGGGCTTTTCTCCTCACGTATCGCCGTTCACTGCTGTCTCTGATTTGGGGCATCTGCTGTCAAGAGCTGGCTTTAACACCCTGACTGTGGTAATTATAAATGAGAGAACAATCAGAGAGAACAATCCAGAACATCAGAGTTGCTGTTATATAAAAAAAGTACCATTTACGAATGTATTAGTAATGTACTGCTTCCTTCTGCATGTTATGCACCTTGTTGAGTAAGTTTCTGAAAAAGCCTGGACTGCTTCTGTTCTCGGCTTCGCTGTGATTAATGAAGCCAACTGAAGTGTATCTTTGGCTAGGGGCCCAGTAGAACTTGGATGGTCGTCTTGGAGAAATGTCAGAGAATGTTAGACCTGCTTGAAAAGACACTCTTGCTGTTTCCTTTAAAACCACGAAGAAATTAATGGCATTTCAGTTAAAATTTCATTGCATGTGGGCAACTAAACAAAACTTTTTAGAAATGTTAAGACAGTATATTCTTCTGAGAAATATGCAGTTTGAACAGAAGTGGCAGGTGAATAGTCTGTTAGCAGCTCGGAAGGCTAGCACAATGCTACTGTTTTAGCTTGATATGTTCTAAAACTAAGCTTCTCAATTCTTTTAGGATACCGACGAAATTCAAGTAAACTATCCAGGGTTGTTTGAGGTTATGGAAGACTTGCAAGGCAAGTATATACTTTGTGGAAACATATGTGTTTTCTGTGTCAGTGATGCAGACACAGAAGAGTTTCACTGTGTGTGTTTTAACTGCAAATCATAGAATGGCTTGGGTTAGAAGGGACCTTTGCGGGAAGGTTGGACTAGATGACCTTTAATGAGCAGGGACATTCTCAACTAGATCAGGTTGCTCAGAGCGCTGTCCAGCCTGACCTTGAATGTTTCCAGGTATGAGTTATCTACTACCTCTGTGGACAACCTGTGCCAGTGTTTCACCACCTTCACTGTAAAAAAACTTCTTCCTTAAAAAAATAGAAATTAATACTAGATAAAGCTTATTTTAACAGTGGAAGCATTACTTTTTTCCCTCATCTCCAGTGAGTCAGGAGATTATGCCTGTCAGCGGATTTGTGCCAGGAAGCAGAAGTCAAAGATTTGCTACTTTGTGGTCTACTATGAATTGTCGGCTTCATTTGTATTCCCATTATTTGAGAAGTCTGTTCAGTGTAAGCTGCTGAAAAGCCCTGAAAGGGAGACAGAAGCATATATCCCACATAGTAACTTTTCCTTTGAGCCTTCTAATTATCAGGGCATTCAGGAAACTGTTTCGGAATAAGAATAAATAGATCTTCAAATTGGAGTCGTCTGAGGAATGCAAAAAAACAATTGAGATGCTTAACAATTGAGTTAGTATTCTGACTGCATTTCTCATGGATTGTAAAGTAGTCATTCATATGCAGTCAGCTGTAACAGGGTGATTCAGGGTGTCTTCTTACTCTGGGTCAGCTGTTGTTGTTTAGAGTAATTCCCTAATGAAAATAAAACTTTTATTCTCTGAAAACATTCAGATGCAGTAAGTGATTAATGAGATTAGAATTGTGATTATTTTATTTCTTATTAAAAATCTCTTGGGATAGTAATTTTGGTACTTATCTGTTTAAAAAAAAAAACCAACATGAGTGATGTGTGTGAAGAAACACTGTGTAGTCATACTTAAATTATACTAGAAAACCTAAATGTTTGTAGACTCAGGCTGAAGAAGTAATAATTTGAAATCATTCCTAGCAATGCAAACTGTAAATTGCAAAGCGTTGGTATTAAAAGGCTTGGATTCTTATAGGTAAGAAACTCACCTAATGATTTGTGGTATGTTGCGCTCTCTTACAGTGAATTCAGACGATTCTATACTTATTCTGGTTTAATAAAAATCTGTTGTTAGTGCATGACACTCAACTCATGGCGTGTGCTATATCTTCTTTTTCTTAAAGCTAAAACATATTTTTAGGTATGGGGGAGAGTAATTGCTCTTGGAATAGAAAACCTCTGCTACACAGAGAGACAATGTTGGCGGCTGCTGCAATATACCGAGGTAAGTACCTGAGAGGTAATGAGTTAATCTGAAATGACTTTAAGAACATATTTTCTATGTCTTTCTTTCTGACCTCTGTGGTAAGAAAAACCCAAACAAACCAAAACCAACAAACCCAAAAACACCACCAACAAAACCACACCAAAAAAAAAACCCCAAACAAAAAAACCCCTCAACATTTTGGAGTAGAACAAAATACCATTATTGTAAAGATATTTTTAACCTTAATTATAATGACAGGATTTGAACTATGTTGATGCACCAGTATGAGATATTTTTATTGTCCCAAATCTTTCACCAAGAGGCATTGTCATATTTAGTTCTGATGTTCCGAGAACTAAGTATATCTTAGAGCTGATGCTCCGTGTACCTCTTTTTCCTCTCCCTTCTTGCCCTGACAGAAATGTATGGAAATAGCGATGGCTCAGTACCTGCCACCTTTCAGATCTACTACATGATTGGTTGGAAATTCCATGAATCACAGGTAATGTGAAGCTGAACTATTTTCTGGTTGAAGGTACTTTCTTTTTAAAATCACTGATGCTTTAAAAGCTTTTTACAAAATATTCTAAGTTAAAATTAGCAGCCCTATTTTTTTTCTTTTTTTCTTAGGCAAGACCAGCCCAGAGAGGTTCTGCAACAGTTTCGTTTGGAGATTTGGCAAAAATAGAGGGACTTCTTTCAAGAGGGAAAAAATAGTTCTTCATCAGAAATAACAGTTGTCTTGAAGCTTCTGTAAAACTTCTCACTGCAGATAGTCTTCACTTGTGCTTAATTTTGTGATGACATTCTGAAATGATGATAATCACGCAGCAGGGTTTTTTGGATTTTTTTTTACTGCCTATGCTACATCATCAGCTATGTAAAATGGTGTTCATTTTTTGTTTCTAAGTGAATACATATTGTCCCAACTTTTGATAAAATTGCTGTTCTCAAATGTGATGCTTCTTCCAGCATTTCAGTATCACAGACTGCTCCAGGTATGACTTGCAAATCTTGAGTGTATATCACCCTGTGTTATTTTCTAATTATTCCTAAAGGATGGTAGATCATAATAAAGAAGCGTACTTGGTGGTAGGTGTATTTATAAGACATCCTGTAAGAGAAAATACCAGCAAATACATAGATCTAAATTATTGTGGGGTTTGTGGGTTGGAAATTATGGGTAAAAACTTGCTGTCAGTTATTGTTTGATATTTGAATATTTGACTTGTGTATAATGAAGTGGTTAAGTTCTGTATTATAAAAATACTTCAGGTTGCTACCCTTCACCTACAACCCTCAAATTCAATTACTTCTTCCACCCCCAAAGCTAGAAGTGTTACTGAACGTGATAGCAGAGCTCAGCCATAAGGAAAGTTGGATGCTTCATTGTAGGTATGACAGAATGTACGTATCGTGATTTGACTTAATGTACTGGAAGGAGCGGTAAGCAGAAGAGTCACCTGGCACTCAGATGGACGTTTACGTTTCAAATTAACTAATTAGCTTAGAATTGGAGTTCTCTGGAGTTGGTATTCTTGGAGTTCCAAGGCATTTCTTAACCATTCTTTTAGCTCACAGCATTTGAAAAATTAAAGGGGGTACTTTAACTTAAAAATAACATTTGCATGTTAGTTTCTGCGTTTCTACTGCCAGAGGCTGAAAAGCATGAAGTATACTTTTTTCTCCTTAGGTGTGACATGAAGCTATAACTGTTCCTGTTTACAACTGCATTATCAGAAATTGATATTAATTACAAATGTGGCCCATTAACCTGAGATGTTTAGAAAAAATAACCTCCCCGATGATTTTGCTTGATTGCAGTACTGAAAGAGAATGGTAGAAATGAAAAGCATGAAGAATGTATAAGTGGGTATACCGTTTGGTCAGTTTTGTCGCTGGATCTAGGCGGTGTGTCAATACTGGTGAAATGAGAGCTGCTCTAGGCTTGTTGTAAGAAGACTATCCAGCAGATGGAGTTTGAGGGAATGGTGTGGCACAGACCAAGTAGGCAAGGTAGGCAGAAGCCTTCGTACCCTGCCAAGGATTATTGAATTATGATTCAAAGACTAATACAGGTATTAAGTTACCTCCTACTGCTTAACCAGTATTCAATTTTCAAAATAGCAGAAATGGTGTTTAAACAAGAAACTATTCATGCAGTGTTCAGCTGGCTAGAAGATGAATTCAAGAGCCTAATTTGGGGGTTTATTTTACCTACCAGGCTTTGACTTTGAATAAGAAATGGGCAGAAGAGGTACAAAACATCCTGATAAGGAGGGAAGGAATCTTCTGTCCTGCTTTTGCTTATGAGCCTAATCCATGATTATTCAAGGAGAATGAGCTTGTCTTTCATTTTCCTTAAGGAACAGTAACCCTAGAAAAAGGGGGAGACGAGTGGTCTGATAATCTTTATAACCCTTAATGTTAAGACTAAATCTAAAAGACGAGCTTATCTCTCTGATAGCCTTCATTTTTTTCATAGTACATCACGGGATTTGATATAGGATACCACATCTCTCTACAGGTCCTCTCTGTCTTTAATAAAATTCACTTATTTCAAGAGGAAACTCTACTTTCCCCAGTGTAGATTTCTGTGAAGTTACGTGTCAAATGACTGTGTAACTTTATGCATTTCTACTTTAGTAGGTTAATCTCCAGTCACTTGAGCTGGTGGTTGTGACTCAGATGTGTTAAGGGAATGAGGAGGTGGAATGTGCTGGGTAAATGTTAATTGGAGAAGTGCTCCTACTGTGCTTGTTTCAAGCACACAGTTAAGTTACAGAGAAAAGGATGGATTTCCAGCTCTTTGAGTCTATGTTCCACGGATGGAATATATAAACAGTAAAGTAGGTAAGAATTTGTTAATGGGGGAAGGTACCTTCTGGACAGGGAGAAACAGAATAGTTTTCTTGCTAGCACTTGGAAGAAAAGAAGGTACAGATACTCAGTTAACTTGGAAAAGGGCCAGGAGTAGTAGAAGTAGGGAGTATTATAGCATTGGAGCAGTGTTGGTTGGAAATAGAGGGCACGCACCTGACAGGCAAGGTGTTCATTTCCCTGAACAACTTTGAATAACTGCCTTTTATGTGTGTTTTTAACGACTTTTTTTCCTGTAGTATTTCTTCTTTGAATTCTAGGTTACTCTGGTTTCCACAAGCCACTTTCTTTGTATGACACTTGTATGAATAGCTTTGAAAACAGTTTACTGTGAACAGATGTTTTTGTCGAATCAGACTGTTAAATCTGAAAAAGAGAATCGAAATACAAGTCTTTATGGCTTTCTGAAATTGTAATGAAGAAGAATGTGATTGCCAGTTGCTAGTCTAGAAATGATTTCAAACTCTTAAGTGCATGTTAAAAATCAGCTTTTGCAGAGTAAGTGACTTCCAAAAAGTAGTTGCTAAGGTGACATGTTTCTTGTAAGCTTAGTTTTAAAAATCCTGATGCATAATACAGAATGCTTTCATCTTGATTACAGGAGAAAGGAAGGAGAATCCTGAGTGATAATTATTTTCACTAACTGAAAGTTAGGACCCCATAAATAAAAAACCCAAACAATTTTAGAAGCAGCACATTGACACCTAATGAACATCAGTATTTTTGAGCCTCCAAAAGGTTCTGAGGGTCTGAGCATGCTTGTTCAGGGTCTTTGATTACCAAATCTGTCAATGTACAGTTTTATGCAAGTCATCGTAGGATATAGGGGTGAAAATGAGGCCCTACATTTTGTAACCCAAGCATTAGATTTTGCAGTTCCTATTCTTTCAAAAGATTGAGAATTTGTGAAGTTAAAACATGGGAAAGGATTGTTGACTACTTCTAATTTATAAAAATGTCATCAGTAGAAGTTCCAAAACAAACCTTTAAAAATTAACTAATTTTTTTTACTCTGCTTAAAGAAAGAAATATGAATGACACTTTTTTCAATGTTTTCTAGAAGTGAGCTAAAACTAAACTTTGTCGCTTGCGGGGGCAGAAACACCAAGCTTTCATATGGTGTTTAACTGGAATTTCCTGATGCAAAGATCTGATCTAGTGGATTAAATTCATTACAGCATCTTGTTCAAGAAGCCACATCAGGAAAGGGAGCATACATGTTAGACCTTTTAAATCTTCATTTGTCTAACACAAGAACTTAATGTCCGCTTTTCAAAGATGTGGTCTATTTTGGTCCAAGTTTTGGAGCCATTATTTTGGCGGAGTACAGTTATGGTAGCAGTTTGATTGGAATCTGTCTGAGTACTGAAGTAAATGTGACCTGTATAGCTAGTTGGGTGATTTCCTGAGTATTTTAGGTGCCCTCAGGTGAAGGAAAAGGAAAAATG